GCAGGGAAACCCCAGGCGTGCCTGCCCCGAGGCCAACCCCTCCGGTGCAGGGAAACCCCGGGCGCACCTGCCCCAGGGCCGACTCCCCCGGCACAGGGAAACCCTGCGTGCACCTGCCCCAGGGCTGACTCACCCCTCCTGTGCGGTGCAGGAAAGTCGCTGTGCTTCTACTCCGGAGTCGATGCTCTCTCCCGCAGTACGCCCAACAGAGCAGCTAGCGCCACTTCTGGAATCGCCGGAAGTGGCGCTAAGCTGCAGGACTTCTGTCCATCCCTGGGAAGCCGATACTACCTCCATTTTCACTTGAGGTAGATAGTGGGGCTTCTCAGAGGGGGCAGACAGGACGCCTCACAAGCGACTGATTGAGACGTGTTGGTGACCACGGATCTAGATCATCCCTGACAGATGTTTATCTAACCTGTTCTTAAGCATCTTCAATGATGGAGATTCTACAACCTTCCTAGGCAATTTCTTCCAGTGCTTCGAATGGCAGTAAATAGAAACACTCCACTGGAAGATGAAGCTGATGACTGTACTAAGTGAAGTGTACTGTGTCAGGACTTGACTATACAGGCAATTTACAGTATAGTAAATCAGCTCAAAGTTCTCTAACTCTCAAGATATTCACACTCACAAAGCAGTTGGTGCACACTAAATCCACTGTTGCTGTACTGGTAGATGTAAAGCACTGGTAGTTACAGCGCTGCTTAGAGTTCTGCAGGAAAACAGCTGTTGTGTGTGCACTAGGGATGTGAGGGTACATCTAGACTATGTTTCTCTTTTGCAATACCGAAGCACCGCATCTTTAAAAGTGCCCGCTATTTCCCAAAATAGGACCCTATTCCAGCATCCCTGTAACCCTCGTTGCACCAGGGTTAAGGGATCTGTCAGAATAGTGACTTATTTTGATTTAGACTCTGAATAAGCTACGCAATTCGTGTAGCACAAATTGCATAGCTTATTCCAACAGAAGGGTGCTGTGTAGATGCACCCTTGGTGTGAAAAGATACATCTACCCAGCAGCGTTATTTCGGAATAATTAACGTTATTTTGAAATAACAAAATGCGCATCTACATAGCAAGCCATTATTTCGAAATAATGTCGAGATGGAGGACTTCTTACTCCAACTCCTGTAACCCTCATTTCACGAGAGAGTTCTTCCTTTGACTTCCTGCTGTTTAGACAGAGCCAAAAGCCAAGTTAAGCTATTTAGACTTCAGTTACGCATTTGATGTAACTGAAGTTCTGTATCTTAATTCGACTTTTGCCCTGCAGTGTTGACAAGCTTAACTAACCATTTAACCAATAAGATGATGCTTATCAATTAATGGTGTTGGTTAAACTCAGCCAACTCCCAGGAAGGCAGCTTTGCTAAGGCAGGGCAGCAAAGCCTCCTGCCCGGAGCTGAACGGACAAGGACTCCACCACAGGGAACTCCACTCCCGGGGAAGAGGCTTCCTTGCTGCAGTGAAGCCTCCTCCCCGGGAGCTGAACAAGCAGCAGCAGGGAAGTTGCTTCCCTGGGGAACAGAGCTGGCAACGGCTTCTCTGCAGCAGGAGAGGTTTTGCTGTAGGCTCCACACCATAAAGTTCAGTGAGCAACACTATTAACAGAACTTTCCCTCTGACAGTGTAGATAAAGCCTCAATTTGGATGAAGGCAAAGGAATAAGCCACAAAACATAATTTGAAGGTACACTAGTTAGATGGTAGATTTTCTGTCTTGGCAGTGGGTTAGACTAGATGACTCTTGTGGTCTTTTTTAATCCTATGATTCTATGACTTTGAAATTAACATTCTCAAAGTCACATTCAAATGGTTTTAGTCAAAACAATAGTGTTATATGGCAAATGTTGTGCAATAAATTAAAAGCAACAGCTTAACAATATACTAAAAGAGTGCATTGTAGAACTGATATGGCTGTTCAGTGTGTAATGTCATATATATACAAGCTGACTTTATGTCTAGTGCTGGGCTCTACACACATTAATAAGCCCTATACTTAGAAATCTGTATAATACAAGTGGAAAGGACCACAAATCAAGAATACATCAACAAATAGTCTCCGACTTCCTTCTCCACTATGCAGACTAAAATGTATTTAGTGTGTACATTGCTTTCTCCAAACAATTTTAAAGTAATAATTTGTTAACTTAGAACAGTAAGAAATGCAGAAATAATAAAAAAGGGTTTATATATAATGAAAATGTATTTAAATCTTAAATCAGTGAGGCACTATGTAACGAGATGCAGCCTAGTGTAATTTCTAGAGGCTTAAGTATACACAATCTCAATATATAAGTGACTACTAGACATCTTTAGGTATCGGTGTATTGTACTTACACAAGTATAATTAGAGATCACAATGTGAGAATATGCTGCTCCCCCTTCTTTCAATGACAGGATATGAAGCCTGGTCCTTGGTTTATCATTGTAAGGTTATTTATCATAAAATTTTAGCAGTAGTGATCCCTGCCTCTTCTGTTTAGACACTCATTTTTGCACAAGAGTCCGGAACTTATTCTTTAAATCGTACAATTTTAAATTTTCTTCCCCTTTCTATATACTTGGGTACTATTAACTACTGCAGGAGCATGTTTAAGCCTGTATGACTCGGAAGTTTGCCAATATATAGTGTTTTATTAATAGCTGGCAACATGTATGACATCACTAAGCACAATGGGGCCATTGCGTGCTGGAGGCTACTACCCAGCTGGCACTTGTTCTGTGGCATCTGCAATACAGACATACCCTCTGCTTTTATTCTGATCTTGCTTGTGTATTTCACCCTGTTAAAACAATGCAAGGGGCTGGACTAGATGACATGTAGGATCTCGCCGCTCTTTTCAGCCATATATTTCTAAAATAGCAGGGCAGTGGAATTCGACTCGTTTGAAGGAAGATGCCCTTGCTTGGGAGAGATGTTTCCCCCTATAAGGACAGAAGGTTGTGTGTAGACTATGTCTGAGGTGGGGGGTTTTGAACAGGTATTTTCCAGCTCTCTCTGAGCCTCCAGGCACTTCGCACAGGTCAATAAAACACCTGCGGCAGACCCGTTGGGCTGGTGAAGCCAGGCTACCACACCGCAGCGTAGCCAGATTTGGGCGGGAGCCCGGGCTCTGGGACCCTTCCCCCTTGCAGGGCGCCAGCGCAGAGTCAGTTGTGTAGCCCCAGAAGCCGGGACCAGCCCCGGGGCCTTTCCCTGCACTGCAGACCAACTGCGCCGAGCGCCCTGGGGCACGGGCTAGCGAGGCCAGGTGTGGGCTGCCTACGGACTAGCCCCCGCAGCAGGACGTGCACACCTCACAGGCGCTACGGGCGTTTATTCTGGCCCAGCCCACAGGCGCGCCTGAGGCGCCGGCTGCTCCCCGAGCCTCACCTGGCTTTGCGTTGACACCTGGCCGGTGGCTCCTCAGCCACTGGGCCCGGGGCGCGGGCGG